ATGACATGGACATCTTGGATGACATGGGGGTGAGTAAATTATCAGCAAACGTTTTTTTTTTTTTTGTTTTTTTTTTTTTAAAGTGAACTACTCCTTTAAGGCCAACTGGTTTTATATTTAGTAATGGTTGGGTGCTAGTATAGCCATTATAACCATGATATTTACCAATAGAATGAGAAGTGACATATGACCAAGGGTGTCCTATACCTAGAACTTGCGGTTGGTAAAGTTTCTTTGCCGGAATAGTCTTCCTGATAACACACCAGCAACAGAGACTGCTTTCATCCCCCATCAGAATGATCATACCAACATCTTCAGACTTCCACAAACAGCTGAGCTTTCTCAGATGACAGTCAGCATGGTGCTTATTTGTGAATGGGAGGATGAAATGCCACATTGTGCATCTTTCATAAATTCTTTTTCATAGTATTGATTTGAGCTTATTGTGCTGAGGCATTTTATTTCCCATGGGTCCCAAGCTATTAACTCTGATATGATCAGGAAAGATCCTCTTACTCAATCCTCTTTCCCCTGTCACATCCCGGATGGCAAGCTACATGCACGCTTGACCTCTGACAGATACAACATGGTCGTTGCCATGTAGATTGTGGTTTAACACACGACTCATTACAGTCACTTGAAGATCTACCTGGTGATGTGGTGGGTCGGATATACGGACTGCACTGACATTCTATTAAAAAAAAAAAAATTAAAATAGACCCTTTTCTGCAAACTCAGAATATATTAATTCAGAATATATTAATATTATCAGATAGAGTAGTTCATACTCACATTACTTGACATTGAAGTACTAGCAAGACTGACTAACTGTTTTCTTAGTATAACATCAATAAAATATTGTAAACAGCCTTATATTCTTTTCTTAAGAATTTAAGGACATGTCCCAATGTCCCAAGTAGACTGTGCTCGCAAGTGCTAAATGGCTAGTCCAAAATGCTTCTGCCTGATCTGGATTGAAATCTCCAGAAATTCTCACGTTTCAGCTCTCCCCGCAAGCTTCAGGGGTGATGTTAGAATCAAATCTAAAACATCGTCTCTGACCAACAATGCAGCCAATTGTTTGGCTCTGTTATCAGCAAACCACGATAAAAACGCTCACCTCAACCTGGCTACTACAATCAGCTGTATCCAGAAAAAAAAAGCCAGGAAGAGCTTGTTCGGGGTGGGATTGGAGAGGTGGAGGGCTCGGGGCGGTGGGTTTGTCAGAGCACTCTGTGGATTATTATGTTTCAAGGATAAAGTCAATTTAATACCATCAGCCTATGGGAAGAAAGCAGCAGAGGGAAAAGGAAGAGAAAAATGTGGTCTCATGCTTCAGGGTTTCAACACTCAGGACCTTTGGCTTTAAGCCATAATTTTGTTGATAATCAATTTCACGTTTCGCTTCAGCGGTTTCAAACAGACACAAAATGTACTAGACTGAAATGACTGCTGAGAAATTCAATTCAGGACATGTCAAAGATCAGAGGTATTATAGTGCTCATTTGTATATTGATTTTAAATACAAATTGTGCAGAAAGACTACAAAGAGATAAATGATTATGCGTGTAACCGAATTAACACATATAACTGCACATTTTTTTCTAAGGTTAAATGCAAACTGGTGTAACAAGAGACAGAAGGAAGCCTGTTAGGGTTAACGACGCCTCATTATCTTCCCTACATGCCTGTGCATAACACTCAAAACTGTCTGCCACTGGGGGTCGGCCATTGCACTTAATTGGGGGTTTAAACCCTGAAGTAATCAGCACAGCTCAAAACAACACCAAATAGCCACGATTTTAAATATGAATTTAGAACGCATTGGTCTCGTGAACATGAGGGATTAATCTGAGTGAATGAGCAAGTTCAAACGCTGTTATGGCATTTGTCAGAGTAAGCCTGGACTTCCCGCAGAAAGGTCTTGGGTCTCCTTTCCCCTCCACTTTATTAACAAGCTCCCTAACCCTTGTAAGAATGAGTGCTGCTTGAAGAATCACGGCACACATGTAGCTCAGCTGAAACCGGCGACTGATTCACTGGCTGAATGATTAAATGGCCTGTTGCCAAGACTCAAATTTTACATCAGTTCTTTGCTTTACTTTTAAGGACCCACATGGTCCGGGCCTCTCTCAAATGGCATTAAACTTAATAAAGCTGTTTATTTGCTAATAATGTGCCAAAAGATAATCAAAAGGTAGGAGCGGAGGATGAACAACATCACACAATTACAAGAAGTAAGGCATAATTACATTTACGTTTTGCATAACTGGAAGCAGGATCCTGCCTGCTGTCTCTGCAGTCTGATTAAGGGAATGCAAATAATTCAGAGCAATTATTTCTTAAAGTGCCAGTAAAGCCACCTGCCTGATTTGACATAAACTGAATCTGACAAAATAAAAATATAGGTTACTGTTGTAGGATGCAAACTGAAAAACAAAGTAGCCTATTATTTACATGTGTTGAACTTAAAAATAGCCAATGTGTTTTTTTTTTTTTTTTTTTTTTTTTCTTAGACTAAGACAATGATGTCATAATTTTTCACGCACATCGCCCGTGGCTTCAGCTGTAAAATTGTTATCGACATTTCACTTCACAATTTATTTATTTCTTTACAACCCAGATATAGACTGTAATCCATCAACCTGTCCGACCCTAATTCGGTCATTTCCAGTGAAACCTTTTAGAACTTAATTGTGATTTAATTGTGTCTGCTCACCCCTTACAGTCATAAAAGGAAATATGTGAACAAGATACCAAATTATTAAAAATAAATGTCGATTAATAAGAAATAATAAACATAGTTTATTAAGCAAAACCAAAAACGAACAAGACATGATAACAAAAAACGAGTGACTGAATGTATTCGTTAGCTCTGTGCTGCGATTTTCAGTAGCATAACCTTTTATTTATTAACGCTATATTTATGTTTAATGCTGGTAAACTTCATCCAAACACAACTGCGGCACCAAATTCGCAAGGTCGCATACGTTTTCCGAACGAATAGAGAGAGAGAGAGAGAGGGAGAGAGAGAGAGAGAGAGAGAGAGAGAGAGAGAGAGAGAGAGAGAGAGAGAGAGAGAGAGAGAGAGAGAGAGAGAGAGAGAGAGAGAGAGAGAGAGAGAGAGAGAGAGAGAGAGAGAGAGAGAGAGAATATAATTCCTGCGCCTTTAAGAACTGTCTGCTACTAAACTTCAGTGACACTAGTGAGGCAGAAGAACAGACTTGTCGTTTACTCACGTATGTATAGCGTAGAGGCTACGTATCAATTCTACAATCCGTTAAAGTGAACTAGGTTTTTAAAAAGGCCAGCTAGAAGGTATCACAGCAGAAAAGCTGAAAATATTAAGGCCTACCCGTCTGCTCTAAGCTATAATAAAAACAACTGAGAAAGGAGTAATCCAACTTCATAAGCAGCGGTGTTTCAGCTTACTCTTGGAATCTCCCGGAATCAAAAGTGCACCTGTCTGACACACTTTATCCTTCCCTTGACGTGACCCTGCAAATGAGTTTCCATCCATCATCACTGCTTAAATATAGACAATATTGCCCAGTTAAAATAAAAAATAAATACAGAATATGAAATAGAATATGAATTCTCTTTTTATTTTATTTTTGCATAGAGAAAAAAAAAATTCTAGTTTGGAAAAAAAGTGATTTCTTTAAATGGAATCAAAAATTAGAGAACATGAATCACATGGTCGTAGGTTAGAAAAATATTCAAATATGGGACTGCAGTCTTGAATGAGGATGGATTTAGCTAATAAATAAATCGCTATCAAACACGTCATCTGTGAGGTTTACATGAGCAATTTCACACCACGGATATTCACAGGGGATCGTAACATCCTTTTGATTCTGCCCTTTTTATTCTCGCCCTGCACTGATCCGTCCATGCGATAATATCATAGCACCATATCCGAGAGACTTATGCATTTCTCAAATAACCACACTAGAAATAAATGCTGATGATTGTGTCGGATGCATTTATATTTTATATATTACATTTAAATAATTAAAAAAATTTCAATTCTTAAATATTTTGAGAGCATTTTACCCACAAGGACTAGATAAACAAATATATAACATATATTACCATATATAACAAATATATAATTATTTATTATTATTATTATTATTATTATTATCAGTGGTACAGTAACATGACTAGTGCAATTACCCTGAAACAATTATTGCAAATGCGCCTACAAATTTTGTTCTACAATCACACCAAATGTTTTCTTATCTTTGCTTGTGGATGTTAAATAGGCAATGCATTTATAAAGTAGACAGGCCTATTTGGACAACAATGTTTTTAAAATGTTTAATAAAATTACTTTTTCCTAATAAAATAAAAGCGCAGCCTACGGGACACAATTATAACCAACTGGAATATCTGTATGAACAAAAGCGGCCAGTTTACGATATCACCTTATCAACATACCATAGCCTTAAAATGTAATAATAAATTAGCCTATATTATATTTATGCAATCTAAATATTATATGAATATGTACAATAATTTAAAATATAAATAAATTTAATAAATTATTTATATTTACGATGAATAGCCTAGCTGACAAACTAAACAAAACATAGAAAATAATGAAAATATCGAAAAGTTGTCTACAAATGGGACGCTCATGTCTATTTTCGCTTGAATTGTTTCTTTTTCTTCGATCGGCAAAAGTCTCTATAGCTTCTGTCCATGTTAACGTCAATATACCAAAATGAACTGATAATGTCATGATGCAATATTCATATCCTCTAATTGCGTCAGTGAAATTATCACAGAATTAATTAAACACGGTTCCCATTTCCAATTGACCACACGGCACTGTAGGAATCCTAATTAATTATAATTAAATTAAGGGGAGTCCATCCAGTGCAGAATTGATTTGAGGAAAAGCCGCTGAAAGTTGAATTCAGAAGCGCCTGTAATGACTCCAGACATGATGGCGATGGGGGCCGGGCTGAGGTGGCCGTGTATAAATAGTGTGATCTGAAAAACACAGACATAACAGCAGGAGTGATCTAAACCTTCTACACGCAAACATTTCACCGAAATCACTGCTGAGCAGACACAAAGATCCGCGTTAGATTCATTTTAAAGTGGATTTCCGTAATCAGCTATGGAAGAACTCACGGCGTTCGTGTCGAAATCCTTCGATCAGAAAAGCAAGGAGACCAGCAAAGAAAGCATCACGTACAGGGAAGTTTTGGAGAGTGGTTTAGCCCGAGCTAGAGAGCTGGGAAACTCGGAGACCAACCTTCAGGAGATTACAGAAACCAACAACAACCATTGTCCAGTACACCTTTACAAGGAGCACGTAGACCTGGAAAAGGAGAAATTGAAGGAGTTTAACGTGACACGGGCTGCTGACGGTGAGTTACACCATAAGCAAAGTGTAATGTGTTTCACTGGAGACGCGTTTACAACTAGGTTTTACGCGCGAACACGTTTGGCGTTGTTGAAATATCGATACAATCTGAATTACAGTATTGAGGTCATTTTCATTATCTTAAAAAGAAAGATTTCGATTGTGTTAAGAGGCTAACTAGCATGCGAGTGGAGAATTTCAAGCTGTATTCAGCTGATGCAATGGTTCGTTGATGTGTGTGCCGTGTGGAGGCTGTTTTCTTTTGTAAAAGAACAGAAATACACGATAGGCAATTTTAAGAAAGAGAATAACTATACATTTATTTAAAAAATAGTCGCCTGTCCTCACATGTGTAATTACAGTCAAAACAATAGGCCCATGTCTTGTCAAATTTGAAAGAATGATCTATCAATGTATTCCTTAGCGTTCTTAAAATTGCCAAATGACTAAAGACACGTATTTGCTCTTTACGCACAAAACACTTAAAGTAAAAAAAGAATATAATTTTTAATGAACCAGGTGGGTGATAATATTTTGACAGTTTGTTTTTGGAATACAAATGTATTATTATTAATAATTGATCAATTTAAATGTCATTAATACATTAAAAAACAAAACAACAGACACGATTCCTTTAAAATAATTAGAGAAAACAAATTATTGCAGTATAAAGATAGCTAATAATTTAGCATTTAAGTATTTATGATCTTATAAGATACATTTAACTTGCAAAAGTACACTTTTTTGTAATACTGCTCTGGATTGAGGATACAGCTCTTTTTTTTTTTTTTTTTTAAAGTGCAAAGCATTGGCTTTGTAAACTTCTAATGTCTCCTAATATCTTAATGCAATTTTAAAATTACATAATGATCTAATCTATTTATATATGTATGTCCCTTAAATATAAGAATCTGCCACTTAAAAGTTGTGCATATAAAAGTTTCGAGAACATGTATGGTTTTATTTGCAAGTCTATTTTATTTGTAGCCTTACGCTTTGAAGCGGTTTTCCAAAATTGTTTCAAAGCAGCAGTAAGTCATTGTTCATCTCGGATTTTATATAACAAAATTGTTTTAATTTGTAAGCTAAAGTGTAGACACGTCATATTAATTAGATTTAGGGTATTGTGTCTGCCGAGTAGAATTTTTGCCATTTGCAATTTAAAAAAAAAAACAAACAAACTCATAACGCTTTAAAGAAAAGCTTTGTTGATGTGTTCATTTTGTATTTTCACAGGAATTTACGACTGCAAAGACAAGAAGGAGGATGTGAAATCAGAGGACGAGGACGCACAGAGTAAACTGAAGCAGAGACGGAGCAGGACAAATTTTACCTTAGAGCAGCTGAATGAACTGGAGCGCTTATTTGATGAGACGCATTACCCGGACGCCTTCATGCGGGAGGAGTTGAGTCAGAGACTGGGGCTGTCTGAGGCCCGCGTGCAGGTAAGCTTACATTCACTTCACTGATTCTGATTGTATTTTTATTCTTCATTTATTTATTTTTTTGTAGTTAAAAAAAAAATAGAACCGATAAAACAAGCAAATATCAAAAATTACAACATTAAAATATAAATAATTGAAAACTACCAGAGAACGTGTAGATTAATTTTTAAACGAATGCATCTTTTAGGGGAAATGCAAATAACCTGAATGTCCATTGGGGGTTCTGTGTCACTCATTTTTCATTGTTTTACGTATGGTCTTGAGATAGTTTAAAGTAGGCCTGTGTGTGGAAATACAACCATTATCAGCGTGGCATAAAAATAATATCCACGGAGGTTATTCATAATCTGTTTATTGCTTTTATATATAATATTAGCAAGTGATATAAATAATACGTCTCTTATAATAGCGCTTTTGTGTTGTTTATGTTATGCCAAGAGGAGTTTGTGACGCTAACTTAGTGGCAGTAAACTAAAGGGTTTTTGTTATCAGCTTATAAAGTTAGAAATAACAGGCACTCTGTTTATAAAGTAGCAACTGTTAAACACTTATGAATACGTGGGAGTGAACTGGCAATGATATATAATAAAATAAATAGTAGGCTAACCTTGTGGTCGCTAGCTAGCTGGCCTTTTTTTTCTCCAACACATTTGCTAAAGTGGGCTAGATTAAATTTGTTTATAACACCATGCGTCTGAGATGTTTAACATTTGGAAACAGTTGTTGTTACATTCACTCGCACACAAAGCATTTGTGTTATCTTTCGATTTATGCGGGTTCAGTTTCAGTGGTGAGTGTGTGTATGAAATAGCCTTTTAGTTCTTGCAGCAGAAGCTATAGGCTATTCAAAGGAAAACTTGCTTATGTGCTGCAGAAAGATCTAACCACATCATTAAAATTAATGAAGAGATTGAACCGCTGCTGCCGGGGATACCTTCTTATGTCACTCACCTCATTTTCTCCAACCTTATCTTTGTAATATCTGCCATTGGCCTGATATACTGTTCCTATAAAAATGTATTAGGAATAATTCAATTCGGTCTTAACTCCTACAGTGACATACCTCGTGTTACAAAATGTAATGGGAAAATAAGTAACATTGTTTGCCAGTGTGACAGCTTGCAAGCACGACGTTTTTTAATGTTTCAGAAGCGGAGGCGAAATTAGATTAAGAGAGGAGACCAAACTGTGATTTAAACCAAAAATTCATAAAACGCCTCTTCTCTATGGCATTTTATGACTCGCATCACATTTTAAAATTTGCAGAGAAGTCTGAGTTAAACGCTATGGACGTGAAGTAAGCTTAGTTGATATGAACCTGCTACAGGCCTACTAGAAGCCCCACGCCGACCAGCTGTCAAGAATCTAATTGAAAGTTATGAGACCTCAGTGAGGAGAAGGCAGTAATTCAATTACGACTAATATCTTTCGGTTTTTGGTGCAGGGCTAAATTAAATGTCATTATTCACTGTCTCTAATAAAAATCAAACGGAAATCAGATTAGGGTATTTGTGAACCGCATCATTGAGTGGTCCTTAATGAAGAAATAACTGTCGAAACCAGTGTAGCTCACTTTCCATAGCATAGTGCTGGATAATTACAATCGATCAAAGATTGAAATATGATGCATTCATTGTGGCCCATTTTAAGTCACACATTGACTAATAATAATAATAATAATAATAAATAAATAATAATATGTCACAATGAAAAAAACGGATTGTCTTTCAAAGAACAGGTTGACAGAGCGTTTGCTTTTAAATTTTAATGAGCGAGTCTGAGCGTTTAATAGTCTGCATGATTTAACTGAACTGACCAGAGCGAGTAATGATGGAGAACTAAATTCACATTGTTCAAAATTATTATTTCCCACCTTTTCAAGCACATATGGCTATATGCAGCAGCAAATTAATTTTATGAGGGGAAAAAAGATTTTATATAAAAAAGAACAGCCTCTTTTTCACCGATTTAAAAATTGTCGGTTAGCCAATATGGTGCTATGACAAAGGCCTGTAGGCCTATGGTCACTTATTTACCAAAAAAAAAGGGAAGGAAAAAACACTAAAATGTAAGAATATGCTACATAAATAATTAAATTGTGTAGAAGATTTAAAAAAAAAAAAACTGCCATAAACATGATGAAGAGTTGTTGAACAATGGATAACAAAACACGCTTTTCCTATTAAAGTGTTTACTAAAGTATAGCCTAAAATTAACAAATTAATACAACATAAAATGAAATTGTTTTTACGTAGGCCTAATGCAAGTTGCAGGGGAAAACTGTGTAGTGTAGCCTATAATAAATGTGCAATTATTATTATTATTATTATTATTATTATTTAATGTCGTGAATGGTGGTGAACACGATCAAGCATAACCGTGTTTTATTTCTTTTTTAGGTATGGTTTCAGAACAGAAGAGCGAAATGCCGAAAACAGGAAAATCAAATGCACAAAGGTAAAATGCTTAAATAATATTTTAATAACTAAATTATTTTTTTTCTGTGTAAAAAATAAGGCTATATTTCGATTTTATGCATATATATTTTTATTTACCTAATTCACGGGACTTGATAAACGGCCCAAGTCGTAGTAGCCTCCAACCTTATCGGGTTGGTCCTGCACGTGCAAACATCATTGCGCCGCAGCTCTGACAACACGCCATTTTAGAACTCATAACATTTTAAATTTCATTAAAATGGTGAAATAATTTACCTAAAAAAGTCATCACAACTAGCTTTGATCATTTATCATTCTTTTCTATTCAGGTGTTATTTTGGGCACCGCGAGTCACCTGGACGCGTGCAGGGTAGCTCCTTACGTCAATATGGGCGCACTCCGAATGCCATTTCAACAGGTAAGAATAATATTTTGTGCATTCAAATGTTCTCATTTTGATAACAGCATGCATCCAAATGCAAATGTGCAGTTCAGTCGACTAAATCTCGCCTAGCCATAACACCTGCCTAAAAGTAGCCAGTGGTCGAGAAAATGCAATCTGATTTGACGCTAGTCTCCATGCGTCGTGCGAAGGGCGCGAACCTTTCACCTCCGGGACCCGATGAGAGACGAATGAGATAAGAGGGACCGAGAGACATTTCATCTGGTGGTGAAGAACTGTCTGCATCACCCAGAAGAGAGAGCAGCCATAATTAAGCTAATAGCACAGCGAGGGGAAGGCAGATAAAAGAGATTATGAAAGAGGAATAACGCACTGATGGTTATTGGCACTGAGCAGCATTGGCAGGGCCCATGCTAAGGACTGAATACTGAACACCACAAATGTCCACCACCTGTTGTTCTGACTGCCCCTGTAGTGGGCTTGCACAGTCCAATTTGACTGATTCGAGACACTGGAGCAAGTCCTGTTTTAATTCTGAGGTAATTAAAATAAATGCAAGTGCCAAGGATAAAGTCAGAAGGCCCGTGGTTAGAAATTGCAAGTAGCAAAGAAACTCAGATGCGACGGGCTGTATTTATACCTGATTATTTTCCTAAAATAACAGACATTATTTATCCTCCTTTCAAAGTAATCTCCCTATGCTTCGTATTCACGTGGAAAACAAAAAAAGAAACACTGGTGAAACATTCTTTCCCAGTGTCAAAACTTGTGCTGCTTGTCAGATGTGGTATTTAAGTTGGACCGCAAAATGTAAAGCTTTGAAATATTTATGATCCCTGTGCTGAGAAAGATGCATGAGAAGAATACTAAAAAAGAAAATAAAAAATAAGTCACTTTTAAAGTCGGCGGATGTCTAATTTCCACCTCATCTTACTGAAATAATTGCTAAGAATCCGCAACCTGATATTTTATGCTGCCTGCTTACATCTTTTTTTCCCCCCCTAGGAACTATGCGAATAAATATTTATATATATATGAGAATGAATATTTTGGGTGCGAAATTGTTTATTTATGCCATTGAATATATAATTAAGATTACATGTTGCAGCTTTTAATGGTTGTACGCAAAGATTCAGCGTGGATCAAACTAATATGCTGAGATTTGCAGCTGATGGACGTCCTTTGACTATTAAGCTGTCTGAACGCATTGCATAATTCAGCTCAAGAGCAGATGAAAAAGAATGCACTGAGTTGAGTGAGTGTTTTCAATGAAAGCACACAGTTGGAGCGGTGTCCGAGCCTGAAAGCAGATCCCTGCCGCTCCTCGAGCTGACCCCGCGGCCGCCGACTAACTCCGTGTTTGTTTTTGCTCGCCCCGCAGGTCCAAGCTCAGCTACAGTTGGAGGGGGTCGGAACACACACCCATCCTCATCTGCACCCACACCTCGCGGCCCACGCTCCCTATCTGATGTTCCCGCCCCCGCCCTTTGGATTACCGATCGCGTCGCTGGCAGACTCGGCCTCTGCGGCGGCCGCCGTGGTAGCGGCTGCCAAGAGCAATAGCAAGAACTCCAGCATCGCCGACCTGCGACTCAAGGCAAGAAAACACGCCGAGGCGCTGGGACTCTGACCCCCATGGGCTTCTCTGCTGCTCTGAACTGATAATTGCTTCTAACACAAGACTAAGCCTGTGAAAAGGCCGTGACACTCACAGTTAAAACAAAACAAAATAAAAACAAAAAAAGGGGTGTAAGGGGAGAGAGAATGAGAGAGAGAGAGAGAAAAAAAGTCACAAAAAACCAGCTGCCAAAACAAACCACTTGTAGAGAAAGGTAATTAAATACCAATGAATCACCTTTTACTTTTCGCCCAACAGGCAGGACTTCTTGGAGGCCACTGGCTCAGCCCTTTCCAGGCACAGATCACAGCCCCAGGACCATACAAAAATGTCTGGATGTCTGTCTGAAAACCAGCGTTTAGGAGAGAAGACTTTTTTAAAAAACAAAAAAAGCAAAAGGCAGACACAGAGTGAGGCTAGAGGTTGTGTTTTTTTACGGACAGACACTGAAACTTTGGAAGCTCAACCTCAAAGTGAAAAGAAAGAGACGGCCATATTTGCCTCCTACCACTGTGCCGCTGCCTAGTGCACGTGCTCAATTGAAGGATAGACCTATTGGGGCTGGCCTCCATTGTAACTGACATACATCTATGTTGATCACTGCCATGATAACCCTCCACTACAATTCATACCTAAAGCCGTTATTTGCTCATTTTTGATTTTTTCCTTCTTCTCTTTTTTTTGGTCACTCTGCTGTGGACAAAGACTGGAAACAGCAATAACATCAATGGCACAATCGCCTGGTTTTTAGCCGGATTTCTTATGATTCTTTCTGTTTTAGGAGGAAATGTTGCATTGCTGTTATTTTCCTTCTGGGCATGTGTATGGACTTTTAGCTTTCATTCTCATATTTTGTGCTCTCTTTTTTATGTGATGTGTCCTGGAATAGAAGTGAACCTAGCTTTTGCACTTCAGGTCTTGTATTAAGGTGTTTACAATCCTTAATGGAAGATGTACTACTTTTATGTACGGGGGAAAAACAAATTGGCTTTCGTTTCGCTGAAATACATTTAAAATCCCCTTTTCTGTTTGTTTCAAAAAGGATAAACAGTAACTTTGTAATTTAACATTTTAAGACACATCAGTTTAACTGAAATGCAATTATGTGCAGTTAAGTGCAATACTGTAAATATGGAAAACGTAATATAGCGGTCGATGTTTGCGAATTAAACAATGATTTTTAACTTGTTGGGTTTTCGGCACTGACGTCGATGTGTTGAAAGTTCTTTGCCGCAGACACATCTTTAAAAGCTGTGTAGAAGGTAATTTGCTGACTCATTCGCAATGTGCCATAACTCCCCAAAGTTTAACGGTATTCAAATACACGAGCATTTAAAGAGACACTGATATCACCTTTCGGAAAAAAATCATTTGACACTGTACAAAACTGCTCTAGGTTCATGGGTCATAAACATATGTTTTTTTAACATAACAATAAATCCACCAAAGACAGCAATTTGATCACATTAATAGAGGTAGAATTATTTAATGCTCCAAAATCATTTACAGTATGACATGCGTTTTAGCAACTGCATACACTGTCCTCCCCTTCAAGCTGTTCCCTGAAAATATCAAAATTGAATACATCACGCTCTAGAAAACAGTATTATTTCCGTAAGCGTACTATGAAACAAATCGCCAGTTCGGAGATCGATTGCCTTTGAACTACAGTAGTAGATCTCGGTCAGGTCTACCTCGAACAATAATCGCTACATTGTGGGCCGTTTTCGTTGTTCACCATTACGGTTGTTTAGGAATGTTTCTGTTTCTTTCATTGGGGTCATAGGTGCTTTTATTTATTATTTGATCTGAAAGTTTATAAATGTTAAATAGTCGAATAATTTCAAGTGTACATATTTACATGGCTTTGCATTTATTTTTATATATTTTTTAAATGTTAACATTTGCAACAGTTTTAAGCAAACGTGTGACTGCAGTACATTTGTTTGACTAAAATGTAGCGTGTTTGAGTTTACAAACATTTCAGGGATGGTGGATGAAACTTTGTGTTGAGATTTTCTTGATGCTCCAAGGAATTTGTTGTATCCCATCATATTGCATATGCAAGCATGCCCAAAACATGATTCGCCATTGAGTTTTTTTCTGTTGTTTCACTTAAAAAAAAAGAATGTACATCTTGTACAAGTAATCTATCAATAAAAGTTATAAATATTTGTAAGAGAGTTTGTAAAACTTTGTGGCCCTCTGAAATTTTATGAATAAAAGGATGCTCTGCTTCAGATACCTTCTTATGTAATATGCACACAATATTATTTCCAAGACTCTTTATAGAGGAGCCACAAAATATCGTAAAAGCTAAAAGTTGTTTCAAATGAAATGGGAATTTATTTTCTAGCATGAAGGTGATATGACACAGAATTAGCTAAAAAAAAGAAGCAACCTAACTATCCTAGATGTCCATAATGATCTAAGTCTAATCGGAAAAAAATCATGCCTTGGTCATGTATGAGTTGCAATGCATTTGTACCCTCCATATATCTTAAACTGACATCACAGTCACAACTGACTTTAGCAAGCCTTTTTTTGGATGGCTTGTTGCATCTGGAAACCCAAATCCAGATGTGTGTACACAAAGTAATTACAGCAGGCAACATAGTGGCTTTTTGTCTAAATCGCATGGAGAAATTAGTCCAAATGGCGTCCTGTTGAGCAAGTACCCCCTAAAAGGTCGGAGCACGTTTAATTTGTAGCTTAGCACTCATACATCAAGATGGAGTGATATAGGCCGAGGCTGATACCTGCACATTAGGGTACTGACCTCTGGCTGGGGTCTGCTGGATGAAGCAGAACATAACAGCATCCTTTTATGTACTCTAATAATTGGCAACGTAGGACCGCCATCAATCAAGCCACACCAAGTTGAGGTTTCTTTTTCAACATGCACAAAACACACAAAGGTATTTATATTGGCCGCAAGTCACAAATAAAGACAAACAAGCAGCCTATGAAAGGGCTTAATTAAAAGTAAACCAAACTTTTTTTTTTTTTATTGAATCAAATGTTATTGCTCACATTAAAAGTGACTTGGTTTTATTGCAGTTGTACGGCTGACAATACTAAAGCTGACTTAACATTTTGTTTTATAGGCTGTATTTTATATCTTTATAATTACATTTCAGAAGATACTTCCAATTCTTGTGCATTTGGTGTGGAACACTTATTGTGACATCTAACACCTGACAGTATTATTAAAATATGAAAAGCTGAAATACATTCTAAACGGGACAATGAAATTATTTTGAGAGAGAAAAAGCTTAAATGAGAAGAACTTAAAAGATGATACCTTTTAACTTCACATGAGCCGTATCAACATCAACAAGACTATGTCCAAATGAAACTGTATGGAAATGTTTACCTATTTAATCTGTTAAAACAAAGCTGTAAAGTAGAAAGAGGATGTAAAAAAGGGTGTTGGGAATTCTAGCTGGAAAAGTTCTAAGCGTTCACATCAGGACTTCAGGAGATTGAGAGCAAATTCAGTCTTTGACAACCCCTTTCAGTAGCAATGCGGGCCAAATGAACAAGGAGCTGGGCTTCAGTAACTGGAAAACATTCGTCGGTTCTTCAACAGTAAGCGTTCACCTCCACTTCAAAATTAATGATAGTGAATATATTAAGTAACCTGGAACCTTGGGAACTTTTTAAATGCTTTAATGTTTACAGTTCCTCATTTTAAAAGGTGTTGTGCTGAATTCATAGTATGCGCAAGCAAAATTACAAAAATCTGGAGCAGGACTTAGTAATTTAGGTTTATGAACTACATGAACTCAAAGAACTAACATTAACTAAAATCTCCAGATCTGATAAACTTTAAAATCTAAATGATATGTTTGTAGCCAGTTGGTTCTTGTATCCAGTTTTAGGAGAAACAATGGAAAACATCACTAAACACTTGTGTGTTGTTCAACTATCAGCCATATCACTATCACTATCACTATCACTCTGCCGTAGCCCTCAATCGGGTCCATACAACCCTAATCGACTTTTACTTAACAACAAAAAAGGTTCCCTTCATCTCAGTGGAATAAGATTTTTTGACTTTTCATACATTATCTATCTATATATACACACACACACACACACACACACACACACACACACACACACACACACACACACACACACACACACACACACACACACACACACACACACACACACACACACACACACAAACAAAAAACAAAAAAACTGGGCTTGATTCGGTTGTTCTGAAGGTATGTAAAAAATGTTTACACTTCTGGTCTTCGGGGTCAATATGACCCCACATTGAAATGAATGTGAAATGTAAAAAAACTAAATATATTTTCTTCATGTGTCAAAAAAAAAAAAAAAAAAAAAAAAATTCTGGCATAAATCTGAAAATGTTTACACAGAAATGAAGGCCTAGAACTGGAGCATAAATGCAATGTATCATAATAAATAATATTTGATATGCAAGCTATTGGTGTAGTTGAGGAATTGTGTGGTATTTGGATAGAGAAGTACTTTATATCTCCAAAAACACAGCATTAATGAATAGATGAGAAGTAAACAAAAAAAATGATATATTATTTGTATGATTAAAAATTTTTTTTGTACAATCAATCATTTACTCAATCATTGATGGGGTCGTACAGGCCCCGAAGCCCAGAAGTGAGACCCCGAAGCCCATTTGAAGATTAAGGTTATGAGAATTACCAACGCATTCGCATCCTTTAGCGTCATATGTGAACGTGTATACTACGCACATGGCACCCGTTATCGTTAATATAACACGCGCTGTGATGGTTAGGTTTAGGTGTGGGGCAGGGTAGGGTAGTCTATTACGATAAAGGATTTATGATGCCTTGGGTTCACGTGTTATATTAACAATAAAGGGTGCCATGTGCGTAGTATAGCGCCGTTTTTGCATATAGCATCACATATGATGCTAAAGGATGAGAACGGGCTCGAATTACAAGTCCAGCGAGGAAAAACTTGTTATTAAAATGAAGACTTGATATAAAGTCGGGGTATTTCTAGAAAATAAATGAAAACCATGCTATATGCAGTTAAAGTAATCAAAAAACATAGCCTACAAGTCTAGATGCAACACTGCATAGCAGTGCTGGGTGAAAATATTAAAACACGCCTGAAACAATGAAATCTGTTTGGAGCAATCTTTATTCAAAGTCACCAGCAGTGAATTAAGCCTTGATATTGATTTGACCATGAAGACTTAAAAGAGAACTAAAGCTTGTGAAAACAAAGGATGACAGCAATCTGTCCATCTGGGACTATTTTAGTTTTTTTTAGCCATTAAATCTCAAGTTTTCTTGGTCTGGTATTGCTTTCTTACCAGTTAGAATCTGTTGTATGTTGAAGTATCAAACTAAAACCCTACAGGACCTGGATCTAACAGAATAGTAAAGTAGCAAGTCTATTCTTTAAGTGCAATTTCTCTTGCAGCAGAAAAGTTACGATTCAAAATCTGTTAGCCTCCACTTTGAGAGACAAGGTATAGTACCTTGCTGGTTTTCCTGTAAGAAGTGAGAAACCATTTGAAAGGTTCATGAACCTGATCTTCTCAAAACAAAAACTGGTCAGAAATGGCCATATTTCTGAAAAGGTACAGTAAGATATCACAAAAAATTAATGAATTCATTTGTAGAAACATAAAGACTTTGAAATGACAAGGTAATTAATCAAATCTGGTCGCAAATTATGTGCATACATACCACAAATTAAAAGGACTTTAAAAAGCAGTTTAGCTACAACAGGACAAAAAAAATGTTTTAATGGCTAATTCAGAACATGCTTAAATAGTCAAATCTAGAGTGCATAATAATAATAAATAAAAAAACTGTTTCCGTTTACAGTACAGAGAAAGTGTTTCTTGTTTATGCAATTTTCACAACAAAAGGCTTGGTTGCCGTCTACATTTTGTGAAACCTCTTATTGTTTAAATGTAATTATGCCTTCAGTTAGACATAACTAAAATCTATTGATTCTGAGATCATGGCCTTCCAGACAGAAAATCAGATAAAACCAAACATTTATCTCTCGTTAAGATGTTGATTATTGTAAAATATTATACTTGCTGATATTCACTGAGCAAAACAACTCTGAAGCCTAAGTTAAGATCTTGTATAAAAAAATAATAGGAACACTGTAAAAATACATTGTTGGTTTAACTTAAAAAAATGAAGTAACCTGGTTGCCTTAAAATTTTAAGTTGATTGAACTGGAAAAACTGAGTTAATACAATGAAGGAGATTAATTTAATCATCAGAAACTCAAAATAATAAGTTATCTCAACTAAATAAATTATTTAAGTTGATTTGACAAAAGAAAATATGTTGTGATAACAAATCTTGAAAATATTTTTTTTTTACAGAATATTTGAACTGGAATGAATAACAGCGCTGTTTTTCGCTTTCATTTCTGGTTACAAAAAGTAATACACAATAAAGTTGACTGTCTCTGTCATTCCCATGGCTTTCAGATAAGCTTCATGAGTGAAAGGCTGGCGACGCAGTGAAAAGTGGGAATCTTTTCTTATAGTGGGAATCAAAGTCAGATGCTTCAGAGGCAACTGAGTTTTCAATGCACTTAGTCGATCTCCCTCTTTTGGGAGATAAAACCAGTTAAGCGCTCTCATGTGAATGCAATGCAGCGATGCAATATTGAATGATGAAAATTTTGAAATCCATTTCACTGTTTACTGCCTTAATGTCACACTATATGCTTCACAATCTCTACACATTAAGTATATGTCATTCAAGATGTGAACAGATGCTACTGTTTGAAATGACTCCATAGTGGCATAAGGTTAAGACTTGTTCTGTACAAGTGATTAAACAATAGTTAACTTTTTTTGTAACAAGTGAATATTAATAAAGTAAATACTTGAAGTAGATGCACTGTAAAAAAAATATATATTTTCTTGATTTGTAATCACAACATTTTTTCTTTTGGTAAATCAACTTAAATAATTTATGTAGTTCAGATAACATAATATTTTGAGTTTCTGATGCTTAAATCAATCTCCTTCATTGTATTAACTAATTTTTTTTCCAGTTCAATGAACTTAAAATTTTAAGGCAACCAGGAAAAACTTTATTTTTTTAAGTTAAACCAACATTATTATTTTTTTTTTTTTGAGTGACATGGAGAGAAAGACTGACCAAGTTTGTTCTACAGACAAAGTAGTTTTTTTGACTAGATCTAGAATGCCCCAAAAAATATGTTTTTTTATAATA